GTATTCGGAAAGATTAAACCAGTTTTATTAAGTAAGGACTTGTGTCGCTAAAGTTCCTTCGGAACGAAGTTACGGAAAATCAATTAACAAACAGAGACGTAACAATAGTAATATGGGATACAGAAATTTCCTGAGAGACATTGTTGAAAGTCAACGTTATCAAATTAAAGTAAATTTGATTTTTTAAATGAATTTTTTTTATTAATTTCATGCTTTTATTATGGGATATTAACTGATTAATTTGCGATATTGCTTTTAAAGTTTTTTTGCTACTAATTTTTGTTTTCTTATAACTTCCAAACAAAAGAAAGTTGGTAGAAATTTTTCAAGAATATTTTTTTCACCAAATATAATTCACTTTTAAGTTCAAGCCTAAGATTTCATTTACTTTAAAAGCACATTTACAAAAGTAGAAGTAATAATAATGAAATGCGTGAAGCGTCTAGTTATAGTACTGAAATGCGTCAAGTATCCATGTCCAGTTATTTTAACGTAATGCGTCAATTGTCCAGTTGTAGTAACGAAATGCGTCAAAAGTCTATGTTCAGCCATAGTAATGAACAGTCTTAAGTGTACAGCTATAGTAACGAAATGCGTCAAGAGTTTATGTCCAGCTATAGTTAAAACAGTATCAAGTGTACAGTTATAGTAATGAAATGCGTCAAGAGTTTATGTCCAGCTATAGTTAAAACAGTATCAAGTGTACAGTTATAGTAATGAAATGCGTCAAGTGTACACTAAGAGTAACGATATGCGTCCCTTTTTGGAGAATAGTGTTTCTGAAGGCACGTCCTTCGGATTACTGGAGTTTTATCACTAATCATGTACTAAAATCGGATCAGAGATTATATTTCATTCGCTGGCATTTGCTTTTCTTCGGTAAAATAAGTTCATTAAGATTGTATTTTCAGATCCTTCACTGGGTTGGCAGTTATAAAACTAAAACCTCGGACATTTACAAAGGAGGTGTTGGCATATTAGCTGTAATAAAAAAAAAACATTAATGCAATGTTTATGATGCATAGATATACTTACTATTACATGCCTGTCGTAACTTAAGCTTAAAATATTTATATAGAAAATAAACAAATAAAACTAAACATATGATGTACTTGAAACACATTTTATATAAATAATTATTTTTATTGATGGTATTGTTTGTTTGAAGTTAAGCACAAAGCTACACAATGGTCTATCTGTGCTCTGCCCATCACGGGTATCGAAACCCGGTTTCTAGTGTTGTAAGTCCGAAGACATACCACTGTGCCACTGTGGGGCATTTATGATATTAGAGCACCCAAATGATAACTTTGCGATAAAATTTTTTTCGTTGCTATTTCTGCTTCTGATAAATTTCTAGCTAAATTAGCTACAATTTCCTAGGTTTTTTTTAACACAGCGATTTGGAAAGAGCTGTAATGTTTTAAAGAACGTCAACCGTCTGCTATCGCCTCGACTTATCTCATGTTATTGACCAATCTAGTGATAACTATCTTTAAATATAAATTATCTACTCACAGTTCTACATGGCAAGTCGTAAGAAGTAACGATCTTCATATAAAACTACGTGTAAAACACAAGCGCTGTTACATTTCAATGATTGTGTGTTTACGATGTAATTTACATTTGTTGATTAGCATGCAAATTAAGTCAAGCAGTTTTAACGTCGCTCATAATAACACAGTGTGGGTTGTTCAGCTTTTCATACCAGACTGAATCTTTAACTAATTTTCCTTGCTAGTCGCCAGAGGTTTTATAAGCCCCAAGAGATTTCCCGATTGAAAATGATTGATAGTGTAATTACTGATGGTTGTTAAACATCCTCGTTCAAAGCAATTCCGGGATAGTAAAAATGATTATATAAACAAGAACTAAGGATACGAGTTTGAAGATCTTCTAGTGAGAATGAAGAGGTTATGTGTGGGTGTTAGAGAAGAAACAACTCCAAAAATAATGAGCAAGCAAAGAAATTTAAAGCCAGACCTTATTTATACACTTATATTTAGAAAAGGAAAAGTGGCCATGCAATGATGAAAACCATTCTCTTTTGCTCTTAAAGATTGTTTAGATTGCCTTGTTTTATTAGCGGGAAAACACTTAAAAGTGAGGGAAACTAAGCATGTTCTAATATGCTTTGCCATATTAGCTCAAGTCATCATGGCAGAACAACGCAAATTTCCTTTTGTGTTTGCAAACTTTATTTTTAAAACTAATATTCGAACTTTCCTTTCGAGCTGCGAGACAATGAAAAGATGCAATATCTTGTCAAAGCTTCTCAACAGGTGGGAGGCGGAATGATTCACGTGCATATTTCTTTCTCACCTTTTTTACGATTACTGAATGATTTTCAGGTTACTGTAAGAAGTCACGAGCATATTTAAACGAGCGTGGAGATAGATATAATCGATATACTACACATGAAAAAAATCACATTTCACTACACATTTTTAGTTAGAAATAACATCTCAATACACGTAACATATTATTGAAGGTGACGTACCAGTTGTAATTTTTGCAGCTTATAAACTTTAATACCTATTCAAAGAAAGCTATGCTAACATTGATAGAATCGGTGGTAAAACACTCCTCCTCTCAAAAATACTTACCGCTTTCATGTGTGCCTAAAAATTTCACTCAGAAATAAAACCACCATGGCTATTAAACATCATCGACTTCAGAACTGCCATCGATTCACACATTACTCGGAATATGGTCAGGTGTTTACACCATCGACTTCAGAACTGCCATCGATTCACACATTACTCGGAATATGGTCAGGTGTTTACACCATCGACTTCAGAACTGCCATCGATTCACACATTACTCGGAATATGGCCAGATGTTTACACCATCGACTTCAGAACTGCCATCGATTCACACATTACTCGGAATATGGTCAGGAGTTTACACCATCGACTTGAGAACTGCTATCGATTCACACATGACTAGGAATATGGTCAGGTGTTTACATCATCGACTTCAGAACTGCCATCGATTCACACATTACTCGGAATATGGCCAGGTGTTTACATCATCGACTTCAGAACTGCTATCGATTCACACATTACTCGGAATATGGCCAGGTGTTTATACCATAGACTTTAGAACTGCCATCGATTCACACATTACTAGGAATATGGCCAGGTGTTTACATCATCGACTTCAGAACTGCGATCGATTCACACATTACTCGGAATATGGCCAGGTGTTTACATCATTAGACTTCAGAACTGCCATCGATTCGCACATTACTCGGAATATGGCCAGGTGTTTATACCATAGACTTTAGAACTGCCATCGATTCACACATTACTCCTACCAATCAATCGATGTCTTTTAACGATGTCCTAACTAGTCATCTGTTGTTGTGTCGGTTACTTGACCAACAGTGAGTTAGAGCTTTGAAACCTAAATATACAGTATTTCTTCCAGATCCATTTTTTTTTCCCTTAACTGGCAACATTGACGGATTGGATACACGGATTTTCTTTTGTCACAGATGTTATATGGAATGGGGCTCCAACCGGTTCTTTAGTCTTCACATCAGGTGGTCCCACAGCCATAGTCTTGGCTGTTGTTTTCCTTAGACTTCGGAATTCTCGGGTAGTGGTCAGATTTTCGGGTGGCTCAAATTGCTGCGTATATTTCTGATCATTATGAAATGTCTTCATTTATTTTCTTACACGAGTTGTTACTCCTGCACTTGAAAATTTGCAGGCATGTGCCTGTTACACGCATCTCTGACATTGTTTGTGGCATGTTCTCTTAATCTTGTAATTAAAACATGCACTCCGTTGTTATATATGATCCTGATCTTTACTTTAAGCAGCTGCTTTAAAGTTTGCTTTTTTTTACAAAGGCACTTAATATGTGTTATAAGACATTGTTAAGCCTAATCTGTTACGCGTGTTCTTGATCATGATTTGTATGTATGTTCTTATTCTAGATTATATGCTTCTTATATAATCTACTACGCATGCTTACTATACGTGCTATATAACCTGTTACAAGCTCTTGACCACGACATTTACGCATGTTCTTATTCTAAGTTATATGATCCTTCTATAACCCTGTATATAAGCTCTTAGTCTGAGCTGTTACAAGTTTTTCTAGTCTTTGTTGTTACACTTAAGTCCGACTTTGAACTGCTACATGTATTCCTAAACTATATTTATTGATTTTGCAATAGTATTTACTTCTGGTCAACACAAATAAACACACGAGCCTGTTTCTGATCCACTCCTAAGATAATGTTTCAAAATAACCGTGCTTCTCCTATATTTGAAGACTTCATTCAGAAGACTTCCTTTTGCAGACCTTGAAGTGAAGTTTGTTTACAATAACCACACAAGTGATGAAAATAAATTTCTTCATGTGCTGGGACTGCGATATGTCCAGGTAAGGTTTCATTTATTTAGATAACCACCATATCAGCATCACTCACGTCATCCAATCACGTGATGGCAGTATGCCAGGATATAATGGTTCAGAGAAGCTTTCGTCCAAAGATCCCAAGAGGAATAGATGAAAAAGTTTAGAACCTCTCTTCACACCGTACATAACGTCTAACGAGTGCCATGAATTTCGTAATCTGTGAAGACGAATCGGACGATGATTTTTTCGGATTTCTGAAACCACCAGGATTGTGTAGCTATTACCCTAGAAGCGCACCCGATCTTCAGCAATTAGATGAACCAGTGCCAGTTCCCACTAGACAGTTTTCTACATCGGGTTCGTGGACAGTAAACCAAAGTGCCAGCGGATTGGGGGTGAGTACCCGTAGTTCGTCGGAAGAAATGGAAACCATCAAACCTAGCACAAAACGAAATATCAAAAAATTTAGTCGAACGTGCACTTTAGGATTACCGGCAGAAAGGAATAATTTTGAACCAGAACGTCATCCACGCGGTGCTAGCATACCTGACACCAGTGTTTACCCTACGTTCTCTACCGACGAGGATCTAGCCTTACAGCGCCTTCGAAACTTCTCTGTTCGATCCAAGCAAGTCATTAATAGAGGAGACTCTTTCCGTGTGATGGAAGAGCTCTGCCCTAAAAACAAAGAACTTCCACATCCTACATGTTCAACACCACCAAACTCTCCCACACCTGATAAAATAGACTTTCGAGGGTCCAGTGGCACCATCAGACACCAGGTCCTCGTGATCGGCTGTTCTGAAGTCGGAAAATCTTCTATATTATGTCAGTTCACTACATCTGAATATATATGTGATTATGACAGCAACCAAGGTACGTACAATATTAACAATCGGAGCAGATTCGGTTCAAGCACCACTATTTGGTATAAATAACAAATACTTGTGTAAAACCTTATCCAAAGATTGATGGGTACAAAATTGTGAAATAGCTTACCTGTACAAATTATGTTACTATATACGTTTAACTGTAATATTTTGCTTTTTTTACATATATTAACCTATGTTGTCGACGAAGATGAAATATAAGGTATTATACTGTATAGTGACTGAAATTTTGTATTAATTGACAGCCCTTTGTCCACTTATATGTACTATATTCTCTTTAAAAATATCTGGACCAGAATCATCACATCACTACAAATAAGTAATCAGTCGTCTTTCATTTTTAGAAAGAGCAACACTACTGTCTGTTTTTTTAAAACTGATCTTTGGTATTTTCTTAACTTGCAAAGAAAGAGTAAATGTATAATTTTTGTCGACTTAGATAAGTATATTTACTTTTCATAAGTACTGTTTGTTTAACACAAATACTAATTATTAACTGAAAGAACTGTATAACCCCGCCTATTCCAACAGATTATTCATTGTTTAATACACTTAACATTTTCATTAAAAAAGAAAAGGAGAAATTAAATATATATCATTGAGCCTCGTCATTTAAATGTATGTATTCGGTGTATTTTGGGTAATGTAGTCGAGGAAAATAAAAGAAATGAAACGTGTTAAAGTAGAGTTAACTATAAAGGATGAAGTGGGCTTATGTTAAGTACAGCGTTCTGAAATATACACAGAAGACTAACATTTTTACTATAGCAGTGTGACTTTTGTATTCTTAAAATAGGAACGGCATAAGTACGAATAAATGACCTTAGATACGCCAAAAGAACCGGAGCGCCATGCTCAAAATATTTTTGTAGAATATATGGGCTCTGCTAGGACAAACGTAACTCAATAACTTAACAGTAGAGTTAAAGAGTTAAAAAGAGTTAAAGTACGAAGATAACAAAAAAAACATACATTTTTCCACTCCCTCTATTTAAAAAAAATCGTTTTGTGAATATAATTTATTTTATCAATATTTTTATTTTTAATATTTTTCTTTCTCGAAACTAGCCAAATTCTTCAAAATATAACAGTTTACCGTGATTTGAAACTAGTATGAAATACTTCAACTTTCCTGTATATGAACATATATTTATAGGCTCTTTTTGGGGAGCACTCGCAGGTATTAGAGTTATTAAGAGTGATAATAGAACATTTCAAATATAATTATTTCACGTACAGGAGCACTCAAGTATTTGAAATAGAAGCCACGAGAAACGATTCACTTCAAATAGCATATTTTTAACCATTGGAAATTTACCTGATAATTAAGACCAGCAATATGTCTTGGATTTGTTCTAAATTTCTATGGCGTATATGTGGTGTTTTAAGTCACGTAGTTCATTCACGCGGAACTAATTCTTTTGGATTATATATATATATATATCTGTGTGTGTGTAGTGGAACCATATATATATATATATATATATATATATA